AAAAAGAAAGAAATGGGGAATGGTATATTGCAAAGCACTAGCTTCTAAATTTCCCCTAAGTTCTCCTGGCAAATAAAAACTGTGGATCCCTGTGACTCATTGCTTGATTTGGAAGTATGACCATCTGTAGGAAGAGAAAAGACCCCAATAACTTTATGGGGAAAGCAGCAACTTCATCAGTCTTGCTTCAGTTAAAATGATTGTTTACCTGACTGGCCTGAAGTTATTTTGTGAGGACACCAATAAAGCTCCTAAAATTCCAAAAGGTACTCAGCAATTCACAATTTGTTATTCAAGAAGTATATGGCTCCTAGAATTTGAACAAAATGGGATAGATGAAATCAATAAAAGCTTTCTTTTATAATTACTAAAAGAGACCTGGAGGAAGGATGGAAAAAAGTGGTTAAATTTTGTAATAGTGTGACAATATCCATTTCCTTTTTAAAAATCTTTCTTAGTCATAATGACTAAACAAAAAACTACAATTTGTCTCACAAAGGAAGAATTCTATATAGATTTGTAATAAATGTGTCAATTTATTGGTGGTATAAAGCTGAATGATACCATGCTATCATGGATTATGGCCTTTTTATTTAGAAAATTTACCTGGATGCCCTTTTCACAAATGAATTCTGAATGGCTAATAACAATCAATGAGAAAAACATAACTTCTATAAATTAATATTCTCCCCTCCATATTTAAAAGAATCATAGCATAATTACAAAAGCCTTATAAACTCACCCACACAAACCACATATACACTGGGCTTATCTAACATCCTGGTCCAGTATCTTGGGGGGGAAAGCAAAGACTTCACAGCCTTTTGGAAGAGGCCCTCTGGATCCGATGGGGGATTGTTCCATGGGCAGGCACCGAGACAGAGAAGGTTTGACTCCTTGGACCCACAAGATGACAATATTTCATAGACAGGACCTGGAGACTACCTGCCCTGTAAGAACTGGTGGATAGGCAGAAATCTCAGAGATAGGTAGTCCTGCAAGTAATTTGGCCCTGTGCCATGCAAGACTCAAAGATGTTAAGTTGTATGTTGAGTTATAACTGGAAGTGTAATTGGAGGCCAGTGAAGCTCATGTAACAACAATGTAACCGATGCAAACCTCAGCGCACTCAAAACTGCACATACCGTTGGATTCTGGACCAGATGAAGCATCTAAGTATTTTTTTAAGAACAAGTATTTATTTAAGGACAGTCCCATTACAGTGATTCAATTGGGAAGTGACTAAGGGATAAGCAAATGTAACCAGGGCCTCCCAATTCAGGAATGAAAGGATTTGGCACACAAAATGAATTTATCCCTCCCCTCTGCAGCCACTAGCTATTCAAACAGGAAGCCTAAGTCTAGGAAGAATCCCAAGTTGTGTGGGATTCAGTGGATTGCTATGCCACTGAATATTAAAAGATGAAAAATCTACAGAATCAGGAGGCCCCAAACCCACTGGGTCTTGATAAGGTTGAATGTAGCCTTTCTTCCTCACCCAGACTCATATAGCCACTGGGCAAGCATCTCAACAACATTCACTTATCCAATCAAGGATAGCGATGAATAATTCAGAATCTGTTGGAGAGAGACTGACGGAACCAGGGAGAGAAATCAAGTGGGAATTAGAGTCTCTATATAGTCACAAAAGGACAAAGCCCAGCCTCTCTTGAATGCCACTGAACCTTACCTAGTTTTACCCAAGTGCAGACTGTTAGTTTCAGAAGATTTCTGTGAATAGGCTTGAGCAATAAAGCAGCAAATTGGACCTCTGTGTGTGGAGCTGATTGTTTACTCCTGACAGTATATCTCACTCCTAATGGTGCCAATGGATGACCTCACCTAGGAATTTCATACAAATATTAAATAGGACTAGAAAGAGAGCCAAGACCTAAGGCACCCAACTAGAACAAGCACAGGATTAGACCCTCGCCTAGTCCAAAATGGAACCAGCAGTAGAAGAACAAGCACAAAACAATTCCTTGCTTCTAATCCCTTAGACACGTCCAGAAAAACACCATAACTGATGCTATTAAAAGCCACTGAGACCCCTATGAGATCAAGGATGGACTTACCACCTCACCCTGAGCCACAAGCACAACCAATGGTGTCTCAATACTATAACCCAGGTTGAACTCCAACTCAGGTTATAACTTTGTTTATCACCTATGTTACAAGAATCTCACCAGACTGCTTGCCTTACTCTGGGAACAACCAAATAAGGCTTCGTGGATTTGGGGAGAAGTCATGCTTATGCTGTTTGCAGCTACACAATAACTCCAAGCTAGGCTCTTGCATGACCCCTCCCTCCAGCCTAGCTGGCAATTCCCCAACAGTGATGCTCTTCTTACTTTCACAGAACACAGTTAAAAATACTGACCTGCTCCCATTACTATTTCCTTACTAATTACTTGTACATTTGTTAGGGACATCTTTATAAAAAAAACAACCTTTGGGAGTATTGTTTGAGGTAACTCTAGAATTTAAATACACAGCAATACAGGAAAATAATATATTTGAGACAGCAAGTTCATCCATTAACAATTACAACAATTACATTACATCCCTTTGGCACATCAACTATTCTGTATCTCTATAGGATAAGAAGCATTCCTTATCCATATAGCTGATTATTTGGTGTGTTCTTTTCCATTCTGTAAACATAAATGATTTCAGTTCATAATTTGAAATAATCATTGGGTCAAAAGTCCTTGAAATGTTTCTGGTAAGAAAACAAATGACCACAAGATGGAGCAAGCACATTTTCCAAGAGAAGAATTTTAAGAAAAAGGATTGCCTGTGGAAACATATCTTTTCAATAATTCCAAATTTGAGGGTGAGGTGAAAGTATTTTATTCCCATCACTTTCTATACTTGTGCTGGCTATAGTGTTTTGAAGGAGGAGAAAATGTAGATAATTTTTTAAATAATTATTCATAATTGGAATAATGGATTTTTCATTTTGCATCAAGTTCCAATAATAAGACATACAAGTAGGCCAGATGGAAATGAAAGAGAGGATCACATTTGTAGCCCAGTCAGAAAAAAATAACTGAGTCTTGATATTAGGTTATATTCTCTAGGCCCATATTCTAAATCGGAGCCAGGCATTTTATGGCCTGCAGGCCACATCGGGCCCTTTGACTGTCCCTGTCTGGCTTGCAGCACTGACGGGAGTTGCAGTAGGGGGGGCAGGAAGCGTCAACCCTCCATAACAATTCCAGTTTCTCATATGACACCTTGGGAAAATTATTTGCACATTTCTGTTCTAAATTATGGCAAGTAATCGTTTTAAATTACAGGAACAAATCTGCTGCCAAGCTATTGAAAACGTTTATGAACAGTGATATATTCTCCCTCATGTTGTGATGGCAAATGTTATAAGATACTGCAATAAATATTGAATATAAGTTAAATCATTAACCAAATAATTTTATGAACTTCATGTAACCTTGCAATGTGAAATCCTACATTTCTTCCACAATGTGTAGTTAGAGACTTGAGGATGGTATCACAGTAAAGAATACGAGATTTTCTAAATACGAATGTGAATTACTTGAAAATTACCCTCAATTCCTGCTATTTGTACTGTATTTTGTTTCATCTATTTTTATCTAAAACATATAATCATTACACTGGATGTCAATGTTAAGGACATATTATTTATTAAAAAAAAAAAAGTTTAACCATCTTATTGACTTTTCACCTCCTTCATTTCCAAGATACCCCTGTGCCAATTTCCCTTGAATCGTTGTGGTGTATAAATATAAAACTGGGATAACAATCTGATGCCCTCCGGATATTTTGGGTAACAATTTCCAAAATTACTCAATACTCTATTTAGGATGTATGGAAACTGCAAGCCAAAACATCCAGAGGCTCCAGGCATCCTTCCTCTGATCTACATTGGCAGTGATCCATACCCAAGTTAATAGGGAATATTATGTTTATTTAGCATGTCAAGTTCTTCATTAGTGCAGAAAACTGCAATGAGCTGCCTGGGTTGTAGAGCAGAAAATAAATACATACCTCCAAGTCTCTAACCAGGTTTTTCCCATTGTGCTTATTCTTGTAGCCCTTCCAAATTCTCTCTCTGTCTCTTTCTGCTGCCATTCTCTTGTCTCCTCTTCCATCAGTCTCCCCCTGCTGTCCCTTCAACCAACAGAAGCTAGGGTACTCATCGCTTCTTCCACCAGTTCTCCAAGGGGCAGAAGCTGAGCATGAAGTGGAGCTGAATCTTCGATCCTGCAGGGCTGTAAATATTTATTTATTTATTTATTCAGTCAAGCAATTATAAGATAACAGGTATAAGTATAAACATAGTTATGAATACATGAAATGGGTACATATAAGAAAAATAAAAGAAACAATAGGACAGGGATGGTAGGCACGTTGGTGCGCTTATGCACGCCCCCTACAGACCTCTTAGGAAAGGGGTGAGGTCAATAGTAGACGGTCTAAGCGGTTAGTTTTTGGGGTATGGGGAAGAACCCACAGAGTCAGGTAAATAAAGGTAAAACGGCCCCAAGCGGCTATACGACATAGAAAATGTGATCAACAAAATATAAATAAATGAATAAAACGCCCCCAAGACAACTCCCTCCTTTTCTTCCATATTCCCTCCACCCCCGGATGATTTCTTCTCGGCGCCCTTCTGCCCCACCAGCCAGTCTCCTTTTGGGGAGCAGGCAGACAGGCTGTTCCGAGGGGGACCCGCCTCCCCCCTTTCTTCCCTCGCGGCTACTCCTCGAGCTTTCTTCCTCCACAGCCCCGCTTCCTTTCTTCCCGCCCTTCGCTCGTCTTCCCCCTCCGGCCCTACCTCACCCAGGTCGCTCGCTCGCCCGCCCTTCGGCCGACTCGGCCTGGCCGGGAGCTCCGCCCCCGCAGCACGCATCCCCTTTGCCCCGCCCCGCGGAGCGGCCGGGGCCCGCTATTTCAGGGAGGCGGGGCCAGACGTGTTAGCCCCGCCTCTCGCCGGGTGGTGACTGCGTTGTGTGGGCCCGGCGGCCGCCGCCGCTCTTGTCTCCTGCTCCGCCGCCTCTTCCTCTCTCCCTCTTTCCCTCCCGCCCGCAGTCATCGCCGGGGCGCGCGCCATGGCGGAGCCGCCCGCTTCTCCCGCCTCGCCAGGAGCTCAGCCCGCGGCCAATGCAACCCCCGCCGCCGTCTTTCAGCGGCTGCTCTTCACTCACGACCTGGTGTCCGGCCGCTATCGGGGTTCGGTGCGCTTCGGCCTAGTCCGTGTCATGCATGGCGAGGATTCCGACTCGGAGGAAGAGGACGGAGGCGGCGGCGGCGGCGGACGAGGCCCTGGCGGCTCCGGGGGAGGCGGCCCCGGAGGTGGCGGAGGAGGAGGAGCCGGCAGCTCCGGCGGCTCCGAGTCCGGGGGCCCGGCCGGGGGCGAGGAGAGTCGCGGGAGCCCCCTCCGCCGCGGGTACGTGCGAGTCCAGTGGTACCCGGAGGGCATCAAGCAACACGTTAAAGAGACCAAGGTAACCCAGCTTCGGCGCCGCCGAGTCTCCTTTTGCATTTGGTCCGCACACGCGGTGGGTTGAGTGGGTGGGGTGTCCGCAATGGGGCTGAGAAGACGGCGGCGGCGGTAGCTGAGAAAAGGGTGGGGAAAGGGGGAGAGGTACATTAGGCTTGGGAAGGTCTCCCGGGGTTGACAGGTGAGCCAACGGCCAGGTTTTGGGGAGCAAATGGGGGGAAAGAGGGTAGCGTTTGAGGGTCCGAGAAGAAGTTGGCCTGGAAGAAGCCTGGTCTCTGGCCGTCAGAATGTGGAAAGCCTCCCTTGCACCACTGAGGTTGCCTCGTCTGCAGTGTCTCTTTATGCAAAATAGACCCTCATTAACACGCCGAAGGACTTCTGGTTTATGCACCAACGTGGAAATAAAAGTTCCAGGTGCTGGTGCGGGTTTTCTTTAGTGCTCTGGGTCATGCATATAGGATTTTATGATGTGTAAAAATGACATTGGCTTCCATTTGACCACCTCCTATTTTTGGCCACGTTTGCTCTCATATTTTTTTCTTTACAGACAATATCAGTTGAAGAGAAAAGCTGCATAGTGCCTTTTGAGAAATAGCACTAGGCAGCCTCTGTTGGGCAGCAGCCTGATTCTTGCATCCTTACCTCATCATTCCCAAAGTCATTTTTAATAATTTGTAAGGAAATGCATTCTTTTGAAAGATAGTTTGGGCCTCACCTGTAATTTTGTGTCATGTTGGGGGTCTTCGTATATTAGAAATAATCATTCTTGGCTCAATTAAGGTATTTTTCTTGTCTTGCAGTAATATTTTCATGTTATTATGTTGCTTCTAATTCACAGAACTGCATCCAACCTCTGTTTCTGACTATATTCTACATATGTAAGGTGATAGAGTTTTTGGAGGTATAATGTATTGTTTATATATTAGAATTCAGACATATTTTTGTGTGATATCCTTAAAATTATATTAAGGGCAGTTTGTATTATCCTATCTGAAATTCTGGTGGAGTCTAAAGAAATCATTTTGTATTAATGTTTTCTTTTACTAAATTATAATAGATTGTGCTTTCTGGAATAAAGAAAATGACTATAACAAAATACCTTTGAAATGAAAAATATTGGAGGTTGAAAATTCTTGATTGGAATCCAAGTGTACATTGAAAAAAAATTGTCTACTATAGTATGTGTGTGTTTGTGTACAGACATACACACTCAATGTGATGTAGTCCTAATTGAATTGTTTTTAATTTTCTCTGGTGAAGCTATTATCAAAGTTTGTAAACTAATTTACATAAAGATTTCAGGAGAGTAAAGTTTGAATACAAAGTTGTTCTAAGAGTCTCACAAAAAGGAGGGGAAGGGATAGGCACTAAGAAAACAGATGAATGTCTAGATCTGAAAATTTGTGAGATGGATATTATGTCTCACATAATTATGTGCTGTTAGAGGTAAGTTCTATACACATTGTTGCAAGCATAATATTTTGATCTGGAATGTATGCATGCTTTCCTTTAAAGAAATGATGCGTTCATTTTAAAATAGAATATGTAAGTGCTATTGATGTTTTTCAGTTGTTGCATCCATTAAATCTAAGAAGAGTAGAAAAATGGTGTCACTGGCAAAACAAAAACTTTCAAAGCTTGTGCCTAAAAGATTCCACATATGAATGTTTATTGAGCTCAGAGATATATAAACATATTCACAATAAATGTATGAATTGTATATAAACTTTTGGGGCTTTCCTTTAATCCTTTGTAAGAATAATTCAGGAAATTAGTTCTGTGAAGTCTGATTAAAATTTATTAGATGAACTTGAAAATTATTGAATTATTGGATTTGACAAAAACTGATGGATTCAATTCAGAAACTATAAAAGCCAGCCCATGTGTGATGACCCAGAGTATAACACAAACGTAACAAAATCCAAAATATAAATAAATGTCCTTTAAAGCCTCCAATTTGGCCCCACTGTTCAATCATTCTCAGATGGAGATAAAACATACTCAAAAATAGTCTTCAAAAGAAAGCAATACAGTCCGAATTGAATGAGCAGATAGAGGTGAAAATAAAAACCAAACAAACTACAATGATGAAATTTCCACAACAGAACAGAAGTATTTACCAAATTCAAGGAGATAACAAGGCACAGTCTGTTGGAAGGACGCCAACCAAGATAACCTCAAACCAAAATAAAACACGCTTTGTCTCCAGCGTTTGCTAGAACACAGGTCCAAACTCTTATGCAGTTCTCACACCTGCAGCCCCTCCCTGCATGCCTTAGGATGGATAGGGGATGGGCCTGGGTCCTCCTCCAACTGCTCAGCCGGCCTCTGCCCTTCCCCAGCCTCCTCCACAACCTCCGGAGCCACACTTCCACTCCCTGTAGCCTGTTCCTCCTCTCCCTCAGAGTCAGTCTCCACCAGAGACTCCACCAGATCCCTACCAACATTTTTGCTTTATAAAACGTCTTATATAATATGCAGGCACAGTGTAATGTTTAGAATTGGAGTAGGAGGTTGGATAGATAGACGTATCATTCACATTTTGGTGCAATCTACATGCCAAAGGATATTTTTAACATTCTCAAATGAACAATCTTTTATTATATTTTCTTATCCAAAGGAATACATTCAAACACCTGTTAAAGTTATATGACAAATACTTTATTTTTCCTAGATGAGAAGCTTTAAACTTGGCACTCTCTTCCTCAGATTCAGATTATGAGTTCATTTATTTTGTCTAAAAAAGGAAGTTAAAATCAAACATTCAGAATTCTGTAAGCATCCAGTATTTTCCTGGGTTTCTTCTCCTTAACAAAACAAACCTGTATCTCAGGAAGTCTTTTTAGATTTGTACTACTGAGTGTAGGCAAGGTAATTTTATAAATCGTTATTATCCAATACATCTTATTCTCTTCTTCCTTTCCCCCTGGGAATTAGGTGGTGTCATAAAAGGAAACATTTTCTGAAATAATTATGGTGTTATTTATATTCTATGCCATCGCTTGGTTGAGAATACTGATAATTGGATTGATCCATGATAAATCCTCTCTTGCTACTTCAAATAGTATGAAAAGCTAATCAGATTCTTTTGGTTTTCTGCAATTATGTTTGATTGGAAGATGCAGGCAGCTACAAAACTGGTTGTACTTAACAAGAAGTAGCTCTTGTTTTTGTACCTTTAAAAGAATTATTCGGATTCTGTGTGAGAACAGCACTTCTCTCATTTTTAATAAATTGGCATACTTTTTTAGGCTTCTGGGTACTGTCCCTTTTTATGACCCTGTAATCCCTTGATTTGGGATAGAATTGGGACAACTGGATGGAGCTGAGCGTTCACTGGCCGAATGCCCTACCTGATGCCAGGCAGAGTTCACAGCAGATTTTTTTTCTTTGCCGGTAGCATGGTGGCCTAGTGGTGAAGACTCTTGCCTCCCATTTGGAAGGTTGAAAGTTCAGTCCTAGGTAGTGGCAGATGTTTCTATCCTAGGCTTCTTTGTAAACCTGAAAAAAGATATTGTTTCTTTAAAAGTTACACCAGTTGATTCCTTAAAGCAGCATTTTTTTCTTGCATTGAAGCCTTTAAAATGTAACTTGTCTATTGCTATTACTGATACAAGTTCTGAAACATTTCTTTTGAATCATTTTTTAAAGTATCTTCCGCCCTATCAGCCATAAAGATCTAAGGACCAAGAGACCTCTAGATAAAGTGTGTCCAACCTTTTGGTGAATGGAAGTGAAATGGAATTGTTTTGGGCCACATAAAAATATCTATAATATAATTAATTATATAAATAGCAAAGTTACTTTTTATGTTTTTTTTAATAATATATCCTTACTAGATGTCCAGGGCCACATTGTGGCCCACAGGCCACAGGAGGAAAACGAATTTGACATGAGCTACAGCTGCTATTAAGGCCTATCTTGTGTAGGTAAGAGCAGGGAAGTGTCAATGCTTCTTTGCTCTTATTGCATCTGCAGAATACTGCCCAGTGGCCCTGTGCCTGGCCCCTGTTGGTCAAGAGGCCCTCAGAGGCCTACCTTCGGGGCCTCACAGGAACATTTCCTGTGCATCTGGCAGATAAAATCATCCTGATCATTCTGATTCCACTTGTATGCCAAGCATAGGAAAGTCCTATGGAGATGCCTGGAGGAGGAACTTACCTAATTATCTGGAAACAGCTTGATCCTGTTGGACCTGAAGTGGACAGGGTCCGTCAGACTGCAAACACACCTGTGAGTTAGATCAGTGTCCCTCCTGGTTGATCAAAGCTGTCTGGGAAGTTTCACCTGGATCCAAGCAATGGTGAATTCAACCTTGATGGAGGGGATGTTTTTCAGCTCTTTTTAAAGAGATACTGGTGTGCCCTCTTTTCAAGACACCATCGCTGGACCATACCGTTATGGACAATTTTTGTCCAATCTCGCACCTCCCCTTTTTAGGGAAGACAGTTGAGACTGTGGTAGAATTATAGCTCCAGAGAGATCATGAATGAAATGGATTGTTTGGACCCCTTTTGATCAGGAACAAAAACAGCACTAGCCACACTTCTTGATGATCTCTGGCAGGAGCAGGATGGGAATAATGCATCCATCCTTGCTTTTCTTAACCTCTTGATGGCTTTTGATACTTAGGGCCAAATTAGGAAGTTGGAGATTGGTGGCACGGTTCTGTGCTGATTCACCTCTTTCCTCTGAGGTCCGTTTCAATTGGTATTGGTAGGGAGTAATACGTCCAGCCCATGGCTCTTTTTTGTGGGGGTTACCACAAGGTCTGGTCCTTTCTAAAACCTACACAAAAGCACTAGGTGAGAACATCCATCACCATAAGATGAGACATCATCAGTATGCTGATACTATTCAACTATATATCTTTGTCCAGGGTGAATTAACTGAAGCTGTGGATATGTTGTTGTTTTTTGCAGTGCCTGTAAGGCTGTGGTGGCCTGGATGACGAACAGCCTTGTAAGATGGAGTAGCTGGCGGGTAGGGGACTCTTCTGTATCC